GGATTTAGAATGAAAGGAGTGGAAATGCAGTGCACTAGGTGTGAAAGGGTTAAGTATGTGAGGTGACATTTCTGGGAAGATCATCATCCATCAGTGAAATCTGTTAGTGAAAGATTGGGGTCTTTCATGTAGCCGGTGTCTTGTGGGAGAAAGTGAGGTTTGTGAGGTTTTCCTGTCTGGACAAAATCGAGTCCCATCCATCCATCCATCCATCTTCCACTGAGGAAGCATCCTCAGGGGTGAGAAATGAGAATCTGAGGAGCAGGCGTTTCCAGAGAGTGTATCTTTCAGAGACTACACTGTAATAACTTCATTGGACGTTTGAGGATTTAATTCATCCTTTCTTTCAAGAACAGGATCAAAACACAACAGCAAGCTGGCAGGCAGTTGGAATGAAATGAGTGGGAATGCAGGCCAGTAGGTGTGAAAGGGTTAAGTATATGGGTATGTGCACTTGCTGATAGTATTTGTTTCCTGTTTGTTTGAAATTTCTGGGAAGATCGTCATCAGTGAAAGATTGTGTTTCTTTATGTAGGTTGTGGCAATTCATAAGACAACACTGAGGTGGCAATGATGAAAAAAAGGAGTGGAAATGCAGGCCAGCAGGTGTGAAAGGGTTAAGTGGACTAGTAATGGTAGTAGTAGTAATCAGTGAAAGTGTGTGTGAAGATCGTGAGGATCATGAGTGAAATGTTCTGGTCATTTTCCAAGCTTGTGGCAGAAATTGGGTTTTTCTGTTCTGGTCAGGTCAGACCCCATCCATCCATCCATCCATCCATCCATCCATCCATCCATCCATCCATCCATCCATCCATCCATCCATCCATCCATCCATCCATCCATCCATCCATCCATCCATCCATCCATCCATCCATCCATCCATTATCCATCCATCCATCCATCCATCCATCCATCCATCCATCCATCCATCCATCCATCCATCCATCCATCCATCCATCCATCCATCCATCCATCCATCCATCCATCCATCCATCCATCCATCCATCCATCCATCCATCCATCCATCCATCCATCCATCCATCCATCCATCCATCCATCCATCCATCCATCCATCCATCCATCCATCCATCCATCCATCCATCCATCCATCCATCCATCCATCCATCCATCCATCCATCCATCCATCCATCCATCCATCCATCCATCCATCCATCCATCCATCCATCCATCCATCCATCCATCCATCCATCCATCCATCCATCCATCCATCCATCCATCCATCCATCCATCCATCCATCCATCCATCCATCCATCCATCCATCCATCCATCCATCCATCCATCCATCCATCCATCCATCCATCCATCCATCCATCCATCCATCCATCCATCCATCCATCCATCCATCCATCCATCCATCCATCCATCCATCCATCCATCCATCCATCCATCCATCCATCCATCCATCCATCCATCCATCCATCCATCCATCCATCCATCCATCCATCCATCCATCCATCCATCCATCCATCCATCCATCCATCCATCCATCCATCCATCCATCCATCCATCCATCCATCCATCCATCCATCCCCCCTCCCTTCCCCACTTTTGTGTGTGTGTCCCCATGCCACGACCCATGTGTGTGTCTCCATGCCACCGTTCTATGAGCCACCTTTTAGTGTCCCATGCCACCGTTCTATGAGCCACCTGTGTGTGTCCCCATGCCACCGTTCTATGAGTCACTTTTGTGTGTCCCCATGCCACCGTTCTATGAGCCACTGTAGTGTGTGTGTCCCCATGCCACCGTTCTATGTCCCACTGTAGTGTGTGTGTCCCCATGCCACCGTTCTATGAGTCACTTTTGTGTGTGTCCCCATGCCACCGTTCTATGAGCCACCTGTGTGTGTCCCCATGCCACCGTTCTATGAGCCACTGTAGTGTGTCTGTCCCCATGCCACCGTTCTATGACCCACTGTAGTGTGTCTGTCCCCATGCCACCGTTCTATGAGTCACTTTCGTGTGTGTCCCCATGCCACCGTTCTATGAGCCACTTTCATGCGTGTGTGTGTCCCCATGCCACCGTTCTATGACCCACTGTAGTGTGTGTGTCCCCATTTCACCGTTCTATGAGTCACTTTTGTGTGTGTCCCCATGCCACCGTTCTATGAGCCACTTCTTTTTTAGTGTGTTTCCATGCCACCATTCTATGAACCACTTTAGTTTCCATTTTCATCTACCTCCATAGTGAGCTCATGCTCTTCTGCAGCAGATGACAGGACAGATGGCATCTCCTCATCTTCATTTTTGGACAGGTTACAGCCACTCTTTGACTCATTTCATTCTGCAGAACACACACTGTGCAGAGCCCCCCAGGTCAGCTTACACTGACTTTAACCCTGTAAACCCCAACTGTACTGCTAGGTAGCAGACAGTAACCTGAGGGCACAACCTCAGGTCATTACAACCCAACCAGTAATAACAAACCTCTGCTGACTTACGCCCCCCTTGTTGATCTCAGCATCACATATTCAACACTCAGAAAGCACTCAAAAGCAATGGTCATTTATAAAATATTTTATTACTCTAATAAAAAAAATTAAACTTTTCTTTACAGATATTATTTGTGCTTGTTTAAACATGTTCCCTCCTTCCTTCCCTCCCTCCCTCCTTCCTTCCTCCCCTCTTTCCTGCTGGGATGAAGGGGATGAAGGGAATCCCATTTTTCATCTCTTCCAGATTGTCACAGCTAACCCCTGGAACATGATTGCTCTTCTCTGTGGCATCTTCCTGGCTCTCTTTAAGGCCGCGGACTTTGCCAAGTTAAGTGTCAAGTGGATGATCAAAATCCGAAAGAGACATCTGAAGAGGAGTCATCAAGTGAGGAACCACATAAACTGAGCCCTCACAGGCTGCCCTTGGACTGCTTGCAGCAGAAGGGGTACAGAATAACTGGAATAAGCTTCAGTCAGCAGTGACAGCCACAGAACAGGGATGTTGCTTTGCTTCCAGACAAGCCCCAGCTGGAGGAGCAGCCTTGGACTTCAGAAAGGAGCTTTGCTCTCAGACAGGTCTAACTCACTCACGCTTTCCTAGTCCTGTGTACCTCAGGCTATGGGGCACCGGGGGAAAGGGGAGAATTCATCCGTGGGCAGAACATCAACACTCCAGCGGCTGAGGGTTCAGGAGGGGCAGTGTTTGAATGCTGCTCAGCACCAGTGAGCAGTCAAGTGCTTGCAAGAGCTGGGTTCTGATCCCCTCAATTACTGCTGGAAGCAGGTGGAGTGGAAGGTAAAGCACCCAACAGGAGCCTGGCCTCCCCTCCCCAGAGTGTGCATTGTAACAAAATACACTGGAATTTTTGGCATGGTGGTTTTGAGTGACTTTAATATTAAACCATACTTCTGAGACAGTGCTGTGTACATTCTTTGGAAGCACCTCTCACATTCAGCTTCCCCGTTGATGCAGTCCTGCATGAGGATGAGGTGAGGAACAAAAACCTGTTCCCCATGGGTCCAGCTTGAAGGTAACTCGAGCAACTCCATAGGTGGGCATCTGGGCAGAGGTGGATTTGCTCTTCCCTCTTACCCCCAGTCTTTGTTGAGGAAGTGAACAAGTCTCTCAGGAGCCTGGCACTCGGCTCTGCTCCTGCCCTCCTCAGGCAGCGTGTGCTCACCAACCATGCTGCCAGGGGGGCTGCTGCTTCCTTCCAAGTCCCTCAGTCTGCCTGCCCAGCTCAGACCTGTGGAGGCTGCAAGGCAGCAGTGCCCCGTGGTGTGTTTGCTCCAAAGGCTTTGGTGCAAGGAAAGGAGCACACCAGGTCATAGGCTGCTGCTGCCATCCTCTGCTAACAGAGGATTAATAGAGCAGTAAGCATATCCAAAGTACCCCCTTTTTTCCTTTTGGTCTTCTAAGGAAGCATTTGGGAACAAATGCTTAAACAGGGCAAGTTCAGGTTAGATCTAAGGCAGAAGCTCTTCCCTGTGAGGGTGGTGGGACACTGGCACAGGGAGCCCAGACAAGCTGTGGCTGCCCCATCCCTGGCAGGGGCCAAGGCCAGGTTCAGTGTGCCAGGATGGAAAGGGGCCCAGGCCATGGTAGGGGGCTAGAGCTGGATGAGCCTTAAGGCCCCTTCCAACCCAAACCAGTCTGGGATTCTATGATCCATAAAATCTACTACTTTCAGGTGACTTCCAGAGCAAATCATGGCAGTGCACTGACCAAACATGGGAGCAACAACTCACTGTAGTAGAACAGAGCCATCATATTCACCAAACCTGAAACCCAGCAGCCTTCACCTCCCTCCAACACTCCCGTCACAGATCCTTTAGAGTTGGGTGGTTAAAAGGTGCTTTGAAAAAGCCCTTTAACTCTCCTGGTCTTTACGAACACAAAGATATGATGTACAGCACTAAATACAAACATAAAGACTTTATTGAATGCTGCTCAGTTCCCCAAAGGTCTTTCATTACAAAAGTTTTCCACACAACTGCAATTGAAGAGATTGGAATGGTACTCTGATAAAAGATGTGAAAAAACACTTGATCAAGTCAACAGACAAGACTTCTATTGTCAGCTTCCCACTGGTAAGAAACAGACTGCATTTTCTTGGAAGAAAACAAGGAACTGTTTATTGACATCTTTCCCTCCTTACTAAAGAATTAATAATCCCAATTTTGGTCTTGTTCTTCAGTCCATGAGATGCTAACCCTAACGCAGAGCCATCCCAGAGCACCACTCCGCAGGGCATCCTCAGGCTGATGAGGAGCATCATTGATGGGCTCTAGGGGAAGCTCCATCCTCAGCAGTAGCAGGAGGAAATCTGTAAGTAGCCCAGGGCCAGGAGGCAGCAAGAACAGGGTGGATGCACTCACTAAGGGGGAGCACTGAACCTGGTGTAGTTGCCCTTCCCTCCTTACCTTGCCTCATTCTAACATGAGCATTAGATACATCTGGCTCCAAATCCAGTCAGGACTGCAAGGACAGTGCTGTATCCCAGCTCCTGCTGCCGCTGCCAGGGGCACACACCGAGTATCTCGAGTTACTGGTTACGTACCTTGGTTCTATTTGAGAAAATACAGCACAACTAGAAGCCTTTTCTATTGCCTTAACCAAAGTATGCAGCGATGTGAAAAGCACATAGAAAAAACAAGGAAAAATGTGTACAGAGCAAACTCTACCACCTATGTGCAACACAATCAGAAATTCAAGTCATAATTCTCACCACTCCCGGAAGAATTTCACTCATTAAAGGATGCTAATTCAGGCCTAGGAAACGTTGGAGGTGACAGGATACCGATAATCAGACAGGTTTACAATATGCTGTGGTATGACATCACTTAACTGCTGTATTGCAACTCAGATCTTTACGTTTGCCAGAGGGAAATAAAAGTGGCTGCTGCTGTTATACTGATGAGGTTTCTCTTGCAAATCCTTACGTATCTCAAAAGGGTACAAAAAGTGTGTGTCTGCCGAGCCGGGGCGCCCGGCTCCGTTACTTGGCACTTGTGCTGTGTGCGTTGAGCACAGTGTGGGAGCTGTTCTGCTTCTCTGCCATCGCCTTCTTCAGCTTTAACTCCTCCAGCTTTCTCCACAGCTCTTCACGTTCCAACTCTTTCTTTTTCTCTCTGCAAAGAGCGAGGGATCAGTTTCAGATGTGCCTGCAGTGCCATGTGGAGACACAGTTACTTAAACCCCAAGATCCACATCTCATAGAATGGCTTGGGTTGGAAAGGATCTTAAAGCTCCTCCAGTTCCAACCCTCAGCCTAGACCATGTCTACTAAGGCTCTAACCAACCTGGCCTTGAGCACTGCCAGGGTTGGGGCAGCCACAGCTTCTCTGGGCACCCTGTGCCAGCGCCTCAGCACCCTCACAGGGAAGAGCTTCTGCCTTAGATCTAACCTGAACTCCCCCTGTTTCTGTCTGAACCCATCACCCCTTGTCCTATGGCTGCAGTCCCTAATGAAGAGCCCCTCTCCAGCATCCTTGTAGGCCCATAATTCCTCCTGGTTTTCTCCAAAGCTGTTTTTAATGTCAATTAGTTTCCTCTGTTAAAAAGCGAGTGCATGAACTGATAACCATTAGTGGTAAAACTTTTAACTTAGCTCCAGCAAACCCACAGAACTGCTGTAGCGTGGCTCTGCACAGATGACTGCCAGCCTAAGGAGGTTCTTTACATGCAAACGAATGGAGGGACTACACATCTTTGGGGCAGGACAGAGAGTGTGCTGCATGCCACCTCCCTACCGCAGCAGCTCTGCATAGCAGGTCAGCAGCAGGAGGGAGAACTTTGAGCTATGAAGCATTCTCCAGCTCAGCTGTTCTCAGACCCAGCACCAGGCAGCCCCTAACAGCCAGGCCTGGTGTGACCCCTTAAGGAGAGCGTGGGCTCTCTGCCCCAGTGCAGGACAAGCTGGGTCCTGCCTGCTGCAACCTCCCCGTGCTGGGTAGCACCACATCAGAACAGCCCCAGCCACACCAGTTAAGCTCCATTTCTTCTCATCAACACGTGTTTGGAAGCACTGGTCAGTATGTACCTTTGTCTTTCTGCCTTGTACGAGCTTGTGAGCTCATCGAAAAGCTTGCCATTCATTTCCATCAGGGTTTTCAGCACGTTGTACACCAGTGCCACGATGGTTCTGCAACAGAAGGAACATGACTGTGAGCATGACTCAACACAAGATGTGCTTTGGTAAACAAGTGCTCAGTTTCTGGTTTGGACGCTGAGCTTCCTATGGAAGATTCCACTGAAAGATCAGTGAATTTGGGACACAAAATCCTCAACCATCACTTCCTCTGGAAATTAACAAGTTGCCCATTTAAACATGCTCGTTTTACCTTAAAATCCCAATTCTTGTCATGTTTTTCCTCACCAGCAGTTCAGCAGCACTGAGTGCAAGGCTGTGGAGCAGGGAAGCCTTGAGAAAGGAGTGAAAGAACCACCTAAGGAAGCAGCCAGAGGTCCAGGTTTGCCTTTTCCATGCTCTCTGTCCACTGTAGCACTATGAAATCTCCCAGCTGCACATCAGAGGCCTTATCCCCTCATTCAGAGCACACCTCTGCACTGAGCCCAGCCACACACCCGGCTTTGAACAGGGGCTTTCATATGGGTTGAAGACAAAACTTACTCAGGGTGTTGGCTTTCTGAGAGGAAAAGCTTAGTTTTGAGCCAGTAGCTAAGGCCATATCAGACAGACAGGTAGGAGCATGTCTCTATGCCCTCCAAAACACATTAAACCCCAAACTTTCTTCCCCAGACTTCCTCATCCTCAACATACACAATGATCCTGGGTCTCCCCCTTTCTTCATACAGAGCAACTTCCAGCTGCAGTCAGGAAAAGAGGGACATCCTTCCCATTTGTTGAGATCCCAAGTATTATCAATGCTCCAAGAACTCGTTTCTATTCAGGCCTAGCTGATACCTGTGCAGCTACACACATCACCTGCACAGCTCCAGAATGACTTCAGAGCCTCCAAGGGCTTAAAGCAGGGCCCCAGGTTCACTCTGGAGTTGTGGGGGTACCTGCCTACCCTGGCTTTGGAGCTTTGTGTGAGCTTTATGAGTTCGTATGACCTTTGTATGAGTTCCACCTCCTGCAGATGGACTTGCAGCTCAATGCAGGATGCTGGACAGGAGCAAACTTGCTCTTTAGTATTTCAGTGGGATTACTGCTTCTTTCAAACACGATATAAAATCACTAGTATTTAACTTCTGGCATTAAATGTAAGCTGAAGCAGTCACTCCTTTCTCACTAGCACCCTTTATAGGGGTAGGCATTGCTCTTCTCTGAGTGTATCCTGCCCCCTTCTTATCCCACTGGGCAGCAATAACTTCTTATGGAGACACTGACAGGAGTTTGTTGAGCTCAAGTAGGAAAGGACAGCAAAGCATAAATACAGCAAAAGCATCCTTTGGAAATGATATTGGTCTAAGGAATAGTAATTTGCATTTTTCATTAAGGTGTAAGATGAAATGTGATTACAGGATGAAGAGCAGCATCCCGTTTCCTCGTACTTTCCCAGGTCTCCATCCTAACATTGCAGAATAGTGAACCCATGCTATTGCCAAAACCATTTAGCACCCATCATCTCAGTGAGCTCATCTGATTTAAGTCAAAACAAAGTCATATTTACAAGCTGCTCAGCCAAACCTGACCCAGCAGCCAACTGATTTATGGTACCAGAGCTGGACTTAAACATTACGTACGGATTCCAATGTTCTTTGGAAATCTTGTACAAACTGCCAAACATAATGGGGAGGATTTTATCAATGTTCTCCTCGATCAGGCTGAGGATATATTCATTATTCCAGAAGTATAAAGCTCTTTCCGCAACCTGGAACACAAAGTTTAGGAGTCAGCAGCCACAAAAGGGGAGTTACTGCAAGTTCTGCATTTGCTTTTAATAGTCTTTTTTTACCTGAAAATGGGAACTTGACACACACTTGGATATTTGCTTAAATAAAGGCTCTTCTATCTTTTTGAACTGAGTCGGTTCTATTACATCTAAGATTTCTTCAATTTCACCTAAAAACATGACCTGTTGGTATAAAAGAAAGACATCAAAAAGCACGAGAGTGTTTTATGTCACCTCTGTCAACAGAACCAAGCCAAACAAGCTCATGCATCAGCTCAGGAATCCTGCCAAGAGCTGTGTGTCAACCTGTAACTGTTTGTGTCAGACAGCCACGGGCTCTGGAAGAGCAGCATTTGATGTCTTCAAGCCTGGCTGCAGGGATTTCTGCCACCAGAGCTCTCCAAATGGGCTTAGGAAGTGAGGAATAGTTCATTCCAGGTTTAAATTACAACCAGCACTAGGGTGAGTGCCACGGGAGACTTTATGAGCACTCACATGAAGAGGGACAACGGCATTAAGGGACCCTGCTCTTTAAAAGAGCTGTCAGGGGGTGGGATCTGGTGGCATCAATCAAGCTCCTGATCTTCAAACTCATTTTGACTACATAGAAGAAAGCAGGAAAGAAGAATTTCCCAACACCATTGACAGCTGTGTTTGTACTATGGAAAAAGAACATGCACTCTTCACCAGACACCTGCTATCTCAAGTGCATCAGTGTCACGTTGCAAATGACTACCTCCAACCTGCTCTTCACCTAGTAAGAGACTTCTCACATCAAAACGGTTTCTCTATAGGGTATCTTTATTAGAGTACAACCAATAACATGGTTTAACGTGGTAACACCACGCTAAGAACACACACACAAAAAGCCTGCACCGAGTTCACATGACAGCACCTCAAGCAGCTCCAGGAAGAGCAAGATTGCTGCAGGGTCCCCCTGGGAAGCAGAGCAGAGGTACCTGCCCCTGCCCCGCTGCCCTGCACAACAGAGCAGGCACCGCACCACACCACCACCAGAAACAAGAGACAAAACCAACCTCTTTCTGACTGCACGTTTTTGGCCAAAATTTGAGCAGTCCTCTGATGACCTACATTAAGAACACAGACAGGTTAAAAGCAGAACAAGTTTCGATGACATACTGGAGAGGATTTAAACAAAACAAAAAAATCACCCCAAAAGAGTTTGGTTTTCCTCTTTTCCTTACCCAGAGGCTGAATGAAAACTGAATACAGGTAAATGTAGCTCCACTGAAAACAAATACTGTGCTGTCTCATTTAATATTCATCAGGTTTAGGTTATCTGGGTAATTCAGACCCTGATCACTTCACAGGTCCTTGGTTATCTGGTCACACTCCATGCCCTTAGGCTGCAGCACCTCCCCTATGGAGACAGGCTGAGAACACTGGGGCTGTTCAGCCTGGAGAAGAGAAGCTGCGTGGAGACCTCAGAGCAGCTTCCAGTGTCTGAAGGGGGCTACAAGGATGCTGGAGAGGGGCTCTGCATCAGGGACTGCAGCCATAGGACAAGGGGTGATGGGTTCAGACTGAAACAGGGCAAGTTCAGGTTAGATCTAAGGCAGAAGCTCTTCCCTGTGAGGGTGCTGGTTTTTGCCATGTTGATGTTTTTCCCCAGCTCCCAGCTGTTCTATTCACACGTCTGGGTACTGTCAAGGTGGCTTTCCAGAGATGAGCCTGGATCAGGCAGTTCTACCCAGCTGGCTGAATGGTGCAGGCAGCTGCAATGCCATCACCAGTGCCTGATGCAGGAGCAATCAGCCCCAAGGATGACAGTTTTGCCTTTGTCTGTGAAGGGGAGGAGAAATGTGACGCTCCCCCATTTCACTGCCATCACCTGATGGGGCAAGCCTTCACTCCTTCACTTCTATAAATGAATGACGTTTGTTTCTCTGGAGTCATGACCTGAAGCAGTCTATGTAAATCCACTTTAAATCCAGGGCCATTGCACCGCTGGTTAGCTGGTAACAGAATGACTCTGGGATATATGATTGAGATCTTGTGTTTTCAAGAACAAAGCCCAACATTTACAGGTATCATAGCTCATTCTGCCAGCATCCCACCCTTTACAATGAAAGCAAGCCAAAAAACTTCAGACAAGCACATTTGCCAAAGCAAAGCTGTGAGAAGCCACCAAACACCCCAACTGGAACATGAATTTACTGCTCTTGAAAGCATACAACTGAGACCGCTGGAAGAGCCCAGTCTCCAGCACTTGATATTGTAAGAGGGCTGAATATACTTTGCTACAGAGACGCATACTCTCAATAATGTGATCAGAGTATAAGAGGGCAGACCTCAACAAGATACATACTTCTTGCTCCTCAGAGAGGGTATCAGCCTCCAGCTTGACTATGCTATATATTAAAAAGCTTACATATGCTCATTTATGTTCAAAGATTGCATTCAAAGGAACATTCAACATGAATGCAGAGCTGAGATCTTGCTGCTCATACTATGCAGAACTCCTAAGTTTAATGTTCTTTCCTGAGCTCACCAAATGACTTACATCGGTAGGCACTGCCTAGAAGCCTGATGTACAAGAACCACATGGTTAGCCCCACTCCTTCAATGTAAAGGCCATTGCACTGAGCAGGGTTAGGTGACTTTTCTTGTCAAAGAAAGGGAGCTTGCTCTCTGCAAACATCAGGATTGACCTAAGGCAGCCTCCCATAGCTACAAAAGCATGCACTGAATGTCCTCTAAACTGACCCAGAGTGACAATCCCTGCCAGAAAAATAACAGGAAGGTACTTGTGAAGGCAGCCTCTGATGGGCTCCTTAAAATATCCCTTGACCTAAAGCCAAAGAAAAACTTCCACATGCTCTCTTCTCATCAGTTGCCCCAAGATGTAACATTGGCTTGTCAAGCACTGCAGAACGTCTGAGCTTTGCTTTCTTATCTGACCAACTTCTATTCCTTTATAAAGCCAGTTCTGCTCAGAGTAATGGCCAAAGCAAGCACAGGCAGTGACTCTGCAGTGAGTTAACCTTCCCTGCTCTGAATTTATCTTTACTGATCAAGAGGCAGCCATAACCATCTGTATCATCCAGATGGAGCCTCAGAATTGCACCATGGCACTCCTGTTTCAAAAGCACTGCCTTCTTCACTGTCAAATGGGCTTGGATCCTGCACCACAGCTCTGTGAATTCGGATCAATTCATTCAGTTTCACAGGTCTCCATGTAATACTGCCCATTTTCTGCTCACATGTCAGCTGTCAAGATGCCTGGGTGGTTTATCACTTGGCTTAAGGAATAAGGCTCACACAATTCTCTTCCCCTTACCCTATCCAACAAATGAAGCATATTGACCAGTGTAGCTGGCAACACTGCAGTGCAGGGGGAAAGAAAGTGCTTCAAGGAGACCAGGCACATTTACAGTCAGGTCAGCCACCTTCTACCACCTACAGAGCAACTTTTCTGATAGGAACACCAATACTTAATACATGCAGGGATAGGAAAAGGGGAAGCCACTTGAAACTGAAAGAGAATGGATTTAGATTAGATCTAAGGCAGAAGCTCTTCCCTGTGAGGGTGCTGAGGCGCTGGCACAGGGTGCCCAGAGAAGCTGTGGCTGCCCCATCCCTGGCAGTGTTCAAGGCCAGGTTGGACACAGGGGCTTGGAGCAACCTGCTCTAGTGGAAGGTGTCCCTGCCCGTGGGGAGGGGGTTAGAACTGGATGACCTTCAAGGTCCTTTCCAACCCAAACCATTCTATGGTTAATGGCTGTGCAGAAAACAAGCTTTCACTGCAGTGCCAGTGAAGATCCACACTGTTCCCACTGAGCTGTTCATCTGCTTTTTCTAATGCTGAAAAGCATAAGCTTTTCATTTTCCTGTTACAAAAAGGGATTTAAATATCAATTTATCAAAGGATTTAAACATCAGCATACCCCTAATGGAAAGGTTTCCAAGTGCCCAACTAAACCCAGTTTTTGTTGTGGCTGCTCTGACATCAGCCCTTGTCCCCATGAGCTGCTGCACTGCCCCGAGCCTGCCTGCACTCTTCTTTGCAGGCATTGCCAAAGCCCCAGCACAAAGAAGTGCTGCAAACCCCTTTGAGCTGAGCTGTCAGTGTGGATCACAGAGATTCAGCCTGGCAAGAGCCTGAAGCACCTGTACAGCTGCTGAGAAGCACCCCGGGAACTGAAGGGACAGCACAGGAACATTCAGAAACCAGAGTCCTTCCTGCCTACATGAAGTGCTGTTTTTCTTTCCAACTTTTATTTTGGGATTGTTTATTCCCTAAAATATTTCAGCTTCATGCAGCGGCTGCACACAAGCCACCAGCACCAAGAATACTGGGATTCTAGTTGTTACCAGGAGGGAAGACAGTTGTTACAGGCTTTCTCATACGAGGTGATCTGCATGATAGCAGTGGTTTGAACGTCGAGCTACATTTGTGCCTTACCTTGGTCATAGCTTGAGAGGTAACTGCCCTTTCAAACCCTGTTCTACAGTAAAAACACCCCCTCCAACCAGCTCTGGCTCATGAAGGCAGCACAGACAGCATTGCTCTGCAACTGCAGCAACTTACACCGCATATTTAGGTGAAAGTAAAAACAGAAACCCATCCAACTGAAAAGCACACTTACAGGCTCTGTTAAAGTTGTATCTTTTTCCAGGAACTGTACAACACAATAGGCGAGCTGGAATGGAAGGCAGATGAGTAGTTAGTTTAAACAGACACTGTTTAGACATTGCAACGTAACTAAATATCACAGCTTATAATGGAAGCACTTAAGATCGGGGCAAAGGGGGGCCCAACCCAAACCCCACCATACAGTCATTTTGAGTTCTTACAAACTAAACAGAACAGCAATTACAGCAGCAAGATATACAGGCCTGCTCTATCTTACTAAAGCTTTCTGCATACCAAACCCCTTCTTTTCTTTTCCCCTCCCTCCCCCCATCCTGGAAGAAAATCCCTTTGAAGCTTGACAGATATTTCCCCAACTCAAATCCAGTATCAAGACAGACCTTCCCTCAACGTATTATGTTAAATATCTATAGTAAGATACATTTCCTGTATTAACATTGCAAAACTGTAATTTCAAGATAAAAAAGGTGGTATTTTCAGTCAAAAAAAGGAAGTTTTGTAACAGGTCTGACTGAGCACACATTGCTGGAGGTCTAGACCAGCACACAACAGCTGGCAGCGAGATTACAGGCAACAGCACTGGAAGGTGTTGCATGGCCACAAGAGATGAGGCAGCCGAGCAGCCTGTCCTGAGCAATGGCCAGCAGCAAACACCCATGAAGAGTGTCTGAAGGAAGGGAAGCAAAATGTCATCAAGTTCCCAGCCTCCAGTGAGTCCTGCCCAGGAAAGTCTTCTTAGGCCAAAGTGCGATACTGGGTTATCTAATTCTTGTTTAGTTACTCAGCACATAGTCAAGTGCAACAAACCAAACTCAACCACAGCCAAGCAACAAACCAACCATGCCTCTGCCCAGTACACAAACCATACAAGAACCCTATCCCTGAAGTAGTTACAATGCCAGATTCCATTAACACTGAGTTTAAGCAGTCACAGTCTTTTTCATCTCACAGTATGAAGCAAAGACAAAGGCTATGGACATGTACTACACTGATATTGCTATACTTAGGATGCTTGAATTCAAGCATCACCTTTCTCTCTTTTTTTACTCTGTTATCCCAAAGCTGATAATTGCAATTCTGTAATTACAATTCTATAATTACAGCAGGTCTAATTTATTTCTGTTACCCTTAGGCTAAGGATGCATACGTGTAGCTTCAACAAATAATAAATGTCACACTTTAATCTCACAAAATCCCATTCCATGTATTGTGCAGTAATGCTCTATTGTTCACAGACACAAAGACTCAAGCTTAATTCAGCTTTAAGGCTTTAACTTTTGAGAATAGGCTAAACCTGTACTGTACAAAGCAAGCAGACCACCCCTGCCTGCACAGCTGATGTGGTGCTGGTCTCCACCTCCAGGATAATACCAACCCAGAAACACTCAGTGCTGGAACTGCATGGGGAAATAGTGCTTTATGAAGGCAGGGGGGCATAGCCTGGTCAGCAAACCAAATGATACTTTGGGTACGTTCAGTACAGCTGAATTAATAGGACTCTTTCAGGTAGTGATGAACGTAACGTGATGTTAAACACACCACAGCAAAGAGGCCAGCTGAGAGGACCTTTGGCAAGCCACTGGTCCCTTCCATATCACCGACTCATTCAATGGAGCAGCCTACTGCACAGCAATAAGCCAGAAAGACAAGTGATTTAATTAACTTAAAACTTTATAGGAGAACCAGGAATGAACTCGAGCTCTGACTCAATCCTGATTGTAACTCTACAGTCATAATGACTTTGCTTTAATTAGGAACTCATTTCCTTGTATCATTGGCCTACAAGGAGCTGTATCAGTGAGTTAAGTTAACAAAGCAAGTTTTTAATTAGCCACAGCAGAACTGCAAGTCTGCATCAAATGGATTCAATACTCAAGTGCCATATGTCTGAAAAGGACACAGGTTATTCCTCAAATAAAAAGCTGAATGTCTGTGCAAGTATAAGAATGGAAGGCAAATGAACTGCAGCATTCTGACAATGTGTCAGGATCTACATAATTCCTAGCTGGATTGATCCAGAGAGCTATTAGCCATCTCTGCCATTTATATTCAACATTCTCCTCCCCTCCCTGTCACTGGTATGGCTTTAGAAATACAAAAGCACTTCTTAAGTACATACCTGGCCATCCTCGAGGTTCCTTTATGCACAGCATTTAGGTTACACAAAGGAATTGACAACAGCACAAGGTCCTGGGATTAAATGAAGCTCAAAGTGTGACAATACAAGCCAGCAAAAAAGCTTCTCACTTCAGTTGATGTGACTTTGACTCACTGTTACGTTCTTTCACTTTCAATATATGCTAAATACTATCTCAAAAGTAACATTTAGACGTAAGATCTTTAAGGTTATTTTTAAGAGTGACCAAATTTGCAAATATTTTGGGGTATTGACAGAACAACACATTCAGATTTCCTTAGTTTCAAATGCAACTACAAAACTCCCCCCCAACTCATAATAATAGGCAAAAGCTTACCTGTGCATGGAACAAAGCTAATCCCTTTGCAGTATGCATGGGAATCAGAACTTTCATAAGGAACTGTTTGTGTTCTGCTTTCAGTGGCAGTGCAAAGCCATTGATAATACTGAAAACAGGAATAAGCAGGGTTTATTTTTGATGAAAACCTATTTTTCCCAGCAAGTCAAGAATTTATGTCAATTCAAGAGATGCCCCATGTCTGATTCCATTTCTAAACCCGGTTATTTTGAAGGCATAAAACAGCTCTACATATGCATAACCTTTAAAGTGTTGGTATCATGAGAGTTTAGACTTTTAGCAGGAATACCCAAGAACCATAGCAGGAGTCAAATACTACACGTTAGATGAGCTGAAGCATTTTGATTGGGACCTTGACTAAGTAAAACCGTCCACAGTGAGCCTTGCTGTCTTTAAAGCTGAGACAGATGCATGAGGAAGCTGACCCATTCCACCCACAACCACAAGCCCCTTGCAGAGAAGGAGACATTGTGTCATATGGTTTGGAACTATTTTAACAGTGCAGGTTGAGGCTATTGAACAGCCCTCCCCTCCAAAAACAACATTCAAAAGTTCTCATTGATTCAGTAACCTCGTTTCTAAGCGTTGAGCAAAAATCCTTCAGGAAGAGGTTGGGGTTTCTCTTCTCCCTACGTCATAGATAAATCTGAGAAAATGAGGGCATTCCTGTCATTTGCTTTTCATGACAATTTGTTCCACAACAAATTGGTTGCATTTTGGTTGGATTTGTTTCACAATGGCTGGATTTTCAGTTAGACCAGTAATAAAGTAAAATGTGTGTGCTAGTTCTGGAAACACAGTAGAATATTACCATAAGAACCTTCAAAGTTAAAGATTTGTATTAGTGAAATAAGGTCAGAAGATGATAACTCAAACCCCACCCCCAGCACTTATAAGGCTTTCCTGAATAGAATTTAAAGAAAACCAGCCTGCTGAAGATTAAAGCATTTCATTCAGCATGAGGACAAAAGTTAACATTGGTTTTTGGAATCCAGGAACAAGCGGAGTTGGAACTGGATGATCTTAAGGTCCTTTCCAACCCTAACTATTCTCTAATTCCATATAGAAGACAAGGAAGAGTAGATATTCCTGACAAACAAGGAGCCTTGAGAAATATTTTGCCAGGCACCTGTAAAACTTGCCCCAAACCAGAGTAACTTATACTCTATACTTTCATTTGATATTCACATGGTAACCCAGATGCGGTATTAGATCAGTGACTGCACTTCATTGCTCATTACCGTAGTATTCCTCTTCCCCTCCATTCCCAAAGCAAGAAAGCAGAAGCAAACACCCATGACATTTTGTATTTGTCAGATCAAACTTACCTTCCTAATATCTCAAGGAGTTCAGCAACACCATTGAAGTGCTCTGTTTCATATATAAACCTGTTACAAAAAGAGACATCAAAATAGAGGATCAGAGATCCCAAAGAACCCATAAAGGCAAGATACAATATTCCTCAACCTAGTCCCACACACGCAGAGCATACCTGAGGAAAATGTTGTTGATCTGTTTCCTGATGAATGCTCTTAAACCGAGGAATTTCCCGTAGATTCGATGAAGAACTGTCTTTAGGAAATCACGTTCTCGTGGGTCTTCACTATCAAAGAGCTCCAACAACTTGAAATATGAAACTGAGATGTATTACTTCTGAAGGACTTCAATTTTGTTATGTTAGAACCAATTCAAGTGTTAACTTTCATTTACAAGCTGGCATCAGAAGTATCAGTTTAACCTAAAATCACTTTTAGGTCAATACTGTATCTTCAAAAGCAGATTTTTAATAAAGCTGCTTATTAAAAAGGAAACCAGCAGCTTCATTCCCTTCAGAAGCCTGTATACAACAGACAAAGCAATTCCAACAACTATTACACTATCAAAAGGAAAATTAAGAATGAGATTATCAGACTTTAGGGGAAGTGGTTTAGACTTAAGTGAACCAAGTGGTACTGCTCATCTCAGAACACTACTTGTGTTGAAGGCTAAGCAAAACCATTCCCGTAAGAGAAATGTAACAATTAATAATTTAATATCGAGGGGGTCATAAAAGAAGCATAAGATCCATCCCTATTAACCAATTCTCTGTTAATACAGACTAAATGCCACAAGCAGCTAAGAAGATTTCCCACCCATTGTTTTCTTGTAGAAAGTCTGCCAAGGAAAGACCATACCCACTCGAAGACATCAAAAGATATTCCCATCCCACTACAGACCATTATTGTAGTGATTTCATTTCCCCTGCGGATCCAAGTAAGAGCACATTCAGAAACACTACCTGCACTATGCAGGTTAGTAACTTATCTCAAGCAGTCCTCAGCCTCTGCTCAGTGTGGGTCTGTGGGCTCAGGTATGCCTACAGCAAGCAGCAGAAGGGACTGGGAACAGTTGTTCAGGCTCATTTTTATATTTAGAAGGAATTTCTCAAGGTCACTACTACACCTAATCATCCCCCCCATATATATCTATACATAGATAGATATCTCAGTTCATTGCACTGTCTTGTACTATACAGAAAGATCAAGTGGAAGGTCAGGAATTGAAACACTGCAATTGGGCTTTTAAGAGCAACAGGTCAGTATTGGATACCTACAGCCAAAAGTTGTGCAGCTTCAGGCCCAAGTTTTTGTGGGAAAGTTGAACAAAACAGAAAAGAAGGTAACGCTTCTAACCAAAACCAGTAAGGCCAAACAAGTGGAAATTAAATGCAGCCACTGAAGGAGGGGAGGGAAAGGGCCCATCTATGTTTTTACTCTTCATTGCTGTGCTGGCCTGCCAGATAAAAAAGATACTGAGATACTGAGCTTTTCCTTAACAAACAAGTATTTTGACATGGTAAAAGAAAATCCCCACTGAGTAACCCTGGACAAAAGTTGTTATGGTATTCTACAGCCCAATTCCCTGAGAAGTTGCATGTAATATGAAGTCTCACTTCACTTTCTAGCTCAGAATGACTTTGCAAGGTAAAGCATGATTTTCCTGTGTACTTTCTTCCTTGATTTTCCTTCTCTGGTTAACACACAATATTAAAGAGAATGACACTATCTAGTTACAAGTTCGCAGATGTTGGAACACATTTCACGTCCAATAAGTACATGAAGTTTTCCCATGATAAATCTATGACAAAACAAACATAAAAGCACTACAAAAATTCAATTAGCACATTGCTGATTTGACCAGAAGTAACAAATCATTAAGAACACAACCTGTATCTACAAATTACAACTATCTTACATTGCAAAGCACTGAAGTTGATAGTTGAAGACAAAGTGTTTCTGAAGCCAGTGATTAGATCTCGACTGTCAGAAACCGCTGCTGAACAACTAAAACTTAACCCTGTGTCAATGTGAAACCTCCACTTTCTTAAGGACATGTCATAACGACACAGAGCTGTTGGAGCAAGTCCAGAGGAGGCCACCAGGACGCTCAGGAGCTCCAGCAGCTCCCCTATGGAGACAGGCTGAGAACATTGGGGCTGTTCAGCCTGGAGAGGAGAAGCTGCATGGAGACCTCACAGCAGCTTCCAGTGTCTGAAGGGGGCTACAAGGACGCTGGAGAGGGACTCTTCATCAGGGACTGCAGCCATAGGACAAGGGGTGATGGGTTCAGACTGAAACAGGACAAGTTGAGGTTAGATCTAAGGCAGAAGCTCTTCCCTGTGAGGGTGCTGAGGCACTGGCACAGGGTGCCCAGAGAAGCTGTGGCTGCCTCATCCCTGGCAGTGCTCAAGGCCAGGTCGGACAAGGCCTTGGGAGATGTGGTCTAGTGTGAGACATCCCTGCCCATGGCAGGGGTTGCAACTGGATGATCTTAAGGTCCTTCCCAGCCCAAACCATTCTGTGATTGTACAATTCTAACATTCTCCTTGTCTGTACAGTCCATCTGGTAAGTTAAGCTGGAGAGGTGATCTTTAACTCTGGTGGTGAGAAAACTGTGCTTACCTGCTGTACAAACTTCTGGTCAATATACCGCTTTGCAATGCTAGGCTGAAAATCCGGGCTCTCCAAAAACCTCAGGAAGAATTCATACACCAACTACAAACATCAAAATGAAGAGTCTCAAGTCAGGAAGTGCACGGTAACACAGACCTCAGGCCCACCACTACAGTGTCAGTGGGGCTATTCACATGCTTAAAAGGTCCAAAGGGAAACCAAAGCCTGACACATCACTGCTTAATCACAGCCTTTACTGGAATTTACTGAAACAGTTACAGTAAGTAGCAAGAACACTAATTCCCAGAAGAATCAAAGTTTAGTAAATAATTGACTGAAAATATCACTATTAGACAAAAAGCAAGTTTAGCTATTCCATAGTTACTTCATATTCCATAAATTCGCATTTCCTTCTGTATTAAGAATCTGTTTTCTAGAAATAAGTTACCAAACACTTTACAGCACTGAGGGTAAAATTAACTGTTCCAACACCATGAAATTCCTGAAACACGTAAGAAAAATCTGCTCAGTGTTCCTGAAATTCAGTTATAGCTGAAAACTCCAAAAATGAAAAGTCATAAAAAAAGCTGAACACCAAAACTGAAGAGTTTGGCTCAACATTAGGTTTCTATATCCTGGACACTCCAGTCAAACAACAGGACCCTCTGCAGATTTATCTTCATGCCTTTAATCCTTTATATTTTGTAGTATATTATGTCAATTGGGTTCAAGTCCCCATTTGCTATGAAACCACAATACCCCCAGATGGAAAAAGAGACAGGAGAGAGCACTAGCAAAGGCCTGAGGAAGCAGAGAGAAGCAAGAAGGCGGCAGAGCACAAGTCCCATATTTTGGGGTTTATCATCGTACTACACTGTACTAAAACAGCAGATGTGTAAAATACACATAAGGCATCTCTTAATCAAGACAGAATTGAAAGGAAACATGTTGTATGTTTAGATACATTCAGGGCTGCTTATGTTCTCAACACCTAGTTCTTAACTCCATGTTAAACTGGTTAGTAGTAATACTAAAATGCAAGTTAGATACATAACGACATCACTGACTGGACTTCTAGATACAACCCACACAGAGCCATGGTCATACCCACAGGCAGGTATCTGAACTATTACCACTCTGAGTACTTACTAAACTGAGAGTCAATACCTAAGAAATTCAGGATTATGAAGTTCACCTGAGAGAAGTGCTTGACAATAGGTACTTTTTATCTACAGCATTTGAGATGGGTTACTTACACATAGCCTCAAGAAGGGTACTGCTGTACCTGCAAAGCAGAAGCTCAGAAGCACAAGCTCCCCTTCACTCTTTCTTCCCCTCTGACAGACTGTAACCAGAGCTTTTCAGATCAGCAGTTTACATGTATACAGATCTCATGTAACAATACTGTACTAAAACCCAAGCTTCCCTGGACAGCCTTAATTTGTCTTCTTGTGCATAAACACAGTAGCTGCACAAGAGACAACATAGGGCAATTTTAAAAAGCTTAGTAACAGACAATCCAATAACGTATTACCATACTCCAGCCTCTGCCTTGGAAAGAGAGAACCCATGACTCTTTCATGTCTTCAGCAATGGCACAGACAGCACGATCAAGTGCACCCTCAGCAAGTTTGCAGGTGACACCAAGCTGAGCGGTACAGTTGATGCACCCAAGGGAAGGGATGGGATCCAGAGGGACCTGGACAAACTTGAGAGATGGGCACATGTGAACCTCGTGAGGTTCAACAAGGGCAAGTGCAAGGTCCTGCACCCGGCTAAGGGCAAACCTTCATATCAGTATGAGCTGCAGGGCACTGTCCAGTCCCACACATGCTTGAGGAAGTGTATTCAAACCTGACAGGATACATAGGAGGAGCCAGCAGAATTGTTGTGGGACAGAGCACCTTTTACAAGTGAAGACTAAATGGGTATGGTTTGTTTTCCCAAAAGGACAGGGGAAGGGGAGGACAATTGTGGCTTCTTTCCATAAATAAATGCAGGGACTGCAATAAATATCAAGCAGAACTAAGTTAAAGCATGGCGCTGTAACATCTTGGTACAAGCTGTCCAAGATTAAGTTTAGGTATCAACTACAATGGCATCCAATGGAACATCTCATCTGTAAAACAGACCAAGTCAATATTAATCCAAGATGCTCCATACTTGATGACAACTTAAACTGTCACATGTCTCATTTCTGCTAAGGGAGAATACGCACTAATAACCTTCAGGATGCTTCAGAGAAACACATGCATGTCCAGAATTATGACTGCTGCTACTGCTCTTAAAGAGCTTTCAAATAGCATGCTCAAAAATCCAGTTTCTGAGCTGTAGCACAGGGAAGTTTTGTGCACTGCAGGAGTACTTATGCAGTTCTGATGTGTACAGAATTGTCAGGCTTCCTGATAATCAGTACCACTGCTCCTACAGCAGGTACAGCTGGTAAAAGGCATCAAATAACTTTGGAAATCCTTGGGAAATCCATGAAGCTTTACCTTGGGCATTTGAGGAAGCAGGCTGCAACGGCCACTTCTGGATAATCAGCTTCTCCCTTCTCCTGAATAATGATGTTTGCAAACTTAAAATCATAACTATCACTAGAGACTACAAGGGACCTACAAGGATGCTGGAGAGGGACTCTTCATCAGGGACTGTAGTGACAGGACAAGGGGTGATGGGTTCAGACTGAAACAGGGGGAGTTCAGGTTAGATCTAAGGCAGAAGCTCTTCCCTGTGAGGGTGCTGAGGCGCTGGCACAGGGTGCCCAGAGAAGCTGTGGCTGCCCCATCCCTGGCAGTGTTCAAAGCCAGGTTGGACACAGGGGCTTGGAGCAACCTGCTCTAGTGGAAGGTGTCCCTGCCTGTGGCAGGGGGCTGGAACTGGATGCTCTTAAGGTCCTTTCAAACTCAAACCATTCTATGACTTCATGAGACAAGAATGGATTCTATCCACAACTGATACTGACTGCTTTTACCTAAAACCAGAAAATAAGAGACAGGTATGTTGAACCTCCTTGAGTTTAACTGAAGCATTACCATTGGAAATACTAGATCAGGGGAGAACTGTTGGATTTGGTCATTTTGGTTCTCAAAATTGGTTTGCTTGGGTCAAAAAAAGTTATGCAATAACTCCTGTTACCTTTGGTGTTTCCATCTTCTTTCTCTCAGAGATCACTAGAATGCTACTGCTTTAAGCAACCAACTCCACCAACTCTGCAACTCCCCAGGCTTCAAAATACACAGCAGCTTTAATGCCAACCTGGTCAACCTAGTTTGGCTGTTATAAACCATCTTGCATGTTGCTTTAAAGGAACGTCTTCCAAATGTTACTCATTGTACTGAGTCTTAAGTTGTGACTACACACACTGGTAACTTACTAAGCCATTATGTAGCATGTTATTTTATAGAGAAATGCCAACAGATTCAACCAGAGAAGAATAAATATCCAAGTTCTTTTTTCTTTCTTTTCCAGAAAACTGGTACCCAACTGCCACATCAAGACAGAAATATCCATACCTCCCCTTCCCAAGCACGTCTTCAGACTATATCAAAAGTAATAATGTGGTCCGTGGAAGGGAAGAGGAGTAAGGGTTGTGCACACCACCTTCCTCCATGCCCAAAATTTGATGTTTCAAGCACCTTTGTGCTATTGGAAGGCAAATAGGAAGTTATCAGACCCAGCCTTCCACCACTCAATAGCACATAAACTGTAAAAGAAAGAGGAAAGCACAAACTGCTTCCATCATGCTGAAGCAAGGAATCTATTGCAGGATGGACCACGAGTGCAGGAGAGGGAAATCCACAATCAATGACCAGACAGCCTGGCCAAAAGTCATTTAGAAAAAGGCTACAAACCTCTTTCAGTTTCTCTTAGATAAGCCTAAAGCACAAGTGAACTGGTCCCAGAAAGCACAAGTGAACTGGTCCCAGAAAGCACAAGTCCTTTTCTACACAAAGAACTACAGTTAACTTATGACCTAAAGTGACCTAACATGTACAGTTTTACACCTGAGAGACAGGGGTATTTTGAAGTCAGATGATGCCACTACTGACTGTAAGGCACACTTTCATGGCCCTTGCACCCTTCCACCTTGTCCTGATATTAAGGTCCTTTCCTACCCAAGCCATCCTATGATTCCATGACTCTATAAAAGGATTGCATACCTGTATGTGGGGCCATGAGGCTTCAAGAGTTGGTTCATCTTCTTCTGGATCAAAATCTGGATTATCACTGGGTGGAAGTGTTCTGAAAATATTAGAACTAATCTGCAAGAGAAGAGAATTTCACTGTATCACTTTTTACGCTTGCACAGGTCACGCTCAGCAAGGTGCTGCTGTCCTCACATTACACGAAACAAAACCATAGTTAAAAAAACCAATATAACAGATAAATATTTTAATGCCCTTTTTATTAACTCCATTCCCCCCCTCCCTTCAAAACTGCTAAATCCAAACAGCCAGAAGTCTGAAACAGGCCAATGAAAATAATAAGAAAGTAGTATTTGTCTTTCAACTGGGTTACAAGTTTGGAGCTGGACACGGTCACATTTAAGATTTTTCGCTGAAACCAAGAAGGTGAAAAGAAAGTTGTAGTTTCCCCTTACAAAGAGCAATTTGCAACTCTGTCACCAAGAGCTGGTTTGACCGGCACAGGGTGCCCAGAGAAGCTGTGGCTGCCCCATCCCTGGCAGTGCTCAAGGCCAGGTTGGACACAGGGGCTTGGAGCAACCTGCTCTAGTGGAAGGTGTCCCTGTCCACGGCAGAGGGTTGGAACTGGGTGATCTTAAAGACCTTTCCAGCCAAAACTATTCCATAATTCCATATAAAACAACAAATACAGCATGACTAGCCACTAATTATTCTAACAGAGCCCTCCACGTCTAAGGCAGACAACCCCCAAAACAGCTTTCATTTTAGAGCTCTTCACTTAATTTCAAGCTCTTTCTCACTTTAAAGTAAGAACTGAAAAACTGTTTGCAATCTTTCACCTTTCATGATTTCAAGATGTTCACAGTTTGGGGCAGTCAGAAATGTATTAACAATTGTAAATGTCTGACTTAATACAGAGTAACTTTGGACAAAAACCTAAGAAAAACAGCTATCAAGTTACTTGAAGTTGGAATTGTCAAATCCAATTCAAAAGGGCAAGTTTGAAAAGGTTTCTTCAGGGGTTTTTGAAGTATACATTAGTCTGGAGAGAAGACCAATCTTTCAGATGGCAAAAGAAAAAGAAACGGCATCTCTTCTGCCAGATATAACATACTGGATTTTAAACCTCTTTAATATGAACAGAAGAGAACATAGAGTTCATTTTGTTTCTGCATTTTCGACTGGTTTTTCACTTGCAGCCCAACGTTTCCGATCATCTTCCAAACCCTTTACGCTTTTAACCAAACCTGTTTCAAACAGCTGCTAACCACCCAAGCCTATTGAGCACCACAGAAAATGCCAGTCTGCAGCAAGTGCTGCTGCACAGCTCCCAGGGAGTCTCCAAGGTGTCTGAAGAATCTGGCAAAAGGACTTGAAAAGATCCTGAAGTCAGCCAGCTGGCTCTGCACTGAGGAATCAGCTGCCTCATTAAACAAGATACAAAGCTACTGCATAAACTGACTTTTCATTTCCTCCTATGTGCCTCATCCTGTGTCATGTCACTGTCTGTACTGTTGGTACACGGTAAATCTGCAGACACCACTGCTCTGGAGTAGAGGAGCAATGATGTTCTGTATGGATGGGCCCTACAGCAGCCTCCTTGTTTACTGCACAGCAGGAGAAACCCAACCTGAAACAGTACAGTTGTCCTTTAAAGTTGTAAACACAAGGGACTGGGGGCTCTGGAACACAAGAGAAACTGGGGGGAAAGAAGGAGGAAATAGGATTCTGAGAGGTGAAGTTTAATCAAGGCCAAAACCCAAAGGTTAGTTCTGTTATTTGATATTCTTAGTAGGTATTCAACAAAACCATCAACATACAAGTCAGTCCCTTACAGAGGCTTCACCACCTCTGCTTACAAGTCTTTTGGTAACATCTCTTGAAAATGCATCCTTTTATTTCTAGAGGCATCTTGCTGAGATGACCCCGTCAACCCTTTAGCACAGAACTTCAGAGTAGAGAAAGCAACAGTTTCAAGGGCAAATCTAAGGTACTACCTACTGAAGATACTTGTGCAGCAGAAACAAAGAGCAAGCCTCTTGGCCAGATCTGTACAAAATAATGCTATGATTTTCAGAGCATCCAGTGCTTCTCATGGTATGATCAGCCTCCTGAAAACTAAGAAACCTAGAATGAACTGGGTACAATTTTTATGTACAAGCCTGTCTCCCTAAACCCAGAGTTCATTTACTTCATTATGTTTTGAATACTTTGCTTCCTGTCTCCTCTGATTGTTTCTAATGTCTTGCTAAGAGTACTGATCAAAAATGTGGTTTGGGTTAAAACCCCCATTATTTTTCCATTGGCAAATGCTTCTCTATACCCTCTTATATTATTTAAAACACCCATTTTCTTTTGTAAGCGGGGTCTTATCCCAAAATTGTGATCTGAGAAATACAGATCCTAAAAGGCTTTTACAGCTGGAAAGGTTTCCGCAAAAGCCCACCATTAGCTTCCTCAAACCTCAGAGAGTTTGGTGACAGTGACATCTGAAAATGTGCTAGTTCATGTATTAAGATACAGAAAATCCATTTTATTAAAACAAGAAAGAAAAATGTCCCTTATTATTATATTGGAGCAAGTCTAGAGGAGGCCATGAGGATGCTCAGGGGCTGCAGCACCTCCTCTATGGAGACAGGCTGAGAACATTGGGGCTGTTCAGCCTGGAGAAGAGAAGCTGTGTGGAGACCTCAGAGCAGATTCCAGTGTCTGAAGAGGGCTACAGGGATGCTGGAGAGGGACTCTTCATCAGGGACTGCAGCCACAGGACAAGGGGTGATGGGTTCAGACTGAAACAGGGCAAGTTCAGGTTAGATCTAAGGCAGAAGCTCTTCCCTGTGAGGGTGCTGAGGTGCTGGCACAGGGTGCCCGGAGAAGCTGTGGCTGCCCCCTCCCTGGCAGTGTTCAAGGCCAGGCTGGACACAGGGGCTTGGAGCAACCTGCTCTAGTGTGAGGTGTCCCTGCCCACGGCAGGGGGTTGGAACTGGATGATCTTAATGTCCTTTCCAAACCAAACCAGTCTGGGATTCTACGATTACCTGTGCACTTCCCAAGGAGTTAAGCTTCTGGAGAGACAGAAGATTCAATTCCAATTTCTGAGTGTGCAGACAGGAATAACAGATGGGCTTTGAAATGCTGAATTCCCAGCTCGTGCAAGCTGCTGGGACACTCACTTACACTGGATTTTGATATGCTGGTGGGGAGCAAGAGGAGGCTGGCAGGGACAAGGAAACTGAGGAGTCATTTACTGGAGGGACATATCTGTTACACTCCCACACCTAAAGGTTTGGGATAAAGGCTAGATAAAGGTTAGAGCTTGTAAACTTCCCAGGATGTTTTGAAACTGAACATATTCACAACACCAAACCCAGATTTGCTGTTGGCTTCAGAGTGCATGCAACTGAGAATAATTTCCAAACAGAGAAGACACTACTGTTAGATGACCAGAAAGGAGGTATTCTGGGCTACCGCTTCAAAAGTATTTAGTCAAACTCTTCCTCAGTTCTTAATTCAAAGGCTTTGGCAATGGGATTATACTGAAATCAGGTTGTGTGGGTCACCAAAAAGAATCTACAGCATGTCTTGCACATCTGCCTAAACAAAGTGGTTTGGGGGAGGTTTATGGCTTGAAGACATTGGTATAATATCCACCAGCGCTCCCTACCTCAAGATCCAAGCAGCGACAGCTACACAAACTACTATTGCATGGTACTGGCTATCATGGTAACAGAGACTATGTGAAGGGAAGGAACGGTCAGAGCCCTCCTCACCTGCACAGACCTTGCCTATGCACTGGTCAGGAACAACACTTATTTTCCTCTTGGTATTTGTAAGGGATTGTTGACTTTCCTTCCCCAAGACCTGGGCAGCTCCAAGGAAACTGGGCTGCTTCCTCCTCAAGCTGGAGGAAAGGTGTCCCAGGCCTAGACAAGGAGCTTTCTGCCACTGATGCCACTCTGGCTTTGTCAGGGAATTTCTGGAGGCTGTTCATCCTTTACTACTGGTCAGATAATAGCAGGGTTTTATTAATGCTGAATTCTACTTTTTCACCCCAAAATCCACTATCCTTCAGGCTCTGCAAAAGACCTCAAATGCTTTTTCTTTTAATGTAGTAACACTGTCCAAAATCTAAAGAATTAAAAAGAAAAACCTTTTTTAAATCTCACTGAAATTTTACTACAAAGGAAGGCCTCAAGCCTGACACACGTGTTGTCTGGAGGGAGAGACCCAGCCAGAGCTCTTTCTGAAAGCTGGTACTTGGGCCTGATTCACAGCAAAGACCTTTGCTGTTGCCAGTTGCCTGGGAGACTAGAAATACTATTCAGGCTTGGAGGGATCTTTTGTCTCAAGCTCTGAAAAAGCTCTCACTGAGCATTTTAGGCCTTCTTCATTTTCGGCCACTTTAGTGAACAAAAGGAGACAGAAATTTGTTATGGAAGGAAAAGCAAGCATCCAGAGAGCTCAATCACTGACACAACAATAACCTCAAAAGAACAGCTCAACACCATCTTATCTCCAAGAAAAGAAAACAACTGCAGTGTAAAAGAAAAGCTCCCTTCAACAAGTATGATAAGCTAGTTAGTATACTCTTTCTTCTGAGAAAGGGGTAGAGAGCACACAGGGTAAGAAAATACTGCAAGGGTTCAGGCTTGCTGCCACCAGCAGCAGTAACAAAGCCAGAGAAGAGGTAGACATGCTCTGTCCCTTCTGTCCTTGATTTTCTTGTGTAGAACACATTGAGGACAGAAACACAGGTCCTTTAAAAAAGCATAACTATACAAACCCCCCCCAGTGTCCTAGATCTTTTGTAAAACTTACTAAGCACCTGGTGAACCAGCCAAAATGATTAACAGGGTTTCAATAATTCCAGCCCTTCAGTACAATGGCACATTTTCACGCTTATTTCTATTAAAGATCTGGTATCAGCTGCTCAGAGAAAAAAACCAACAAAACCAAACAAAACCCAGTGAAAAACCTTAAGGGGAAAAAAACCAGCTTGCATTGCATAGAAAACCACAAAGGACATAAGCCATATGTTTGAGCTGCTCCGCTTACGTTCCTGATAGCTACTTTTGAAGTCAGTGTTGTGTGTCTGTAAACTCAATTGAAGTTTAGAGAACCATTAGCCTGAGTGCATGGGCACTAAATAACATTCTTTCTACGCTGAACACTTCTAAAAAAGACAGTTTTCAAGTATTTCAGATGCTTGGCAAACGTGCCTCAGTTGAGCTCCCTGTACATGGAGTATAGGCATAGCTGAAGCATTGCTTAGGCAGCACATGAAAAATGAATCTAACATACCTGGGAAAGTCAGCAGATAGTAACCACAACTATTTTGTTGCTTATTTAACAAGCCATTGGTAGAAACTGCACAGGATAAATCATCCCGTGGTTTACAAGTCAAGCAAACCACTTAAGACTACGCTAGCACAGCTCTCCAAGGCCAGAACAGTAACAGCCAGGCACAGAAAGTATTTACAAAGTAGAGCTGCTCCCCTACACTGATAAACCTTTCTGTTGACACTAATACCCACAAGAATCTTTACTCAAAAACTTTAGCCTTCACTCTGCTGCTATTCTTAAACAAACAGACAGGCAGCATTGAAATACTGCCTTTTTCTGAATGAGAACAACTTCAAAGCTTACCCAGACTGCAAGCATTTGCAATATACCTGCTCTTTCATTTTCATTAACCTGCATGCATCATATTTCAGCTAATAATTAAAACTCAGGTTGTTTTTACAAGCCTTTCTAAGTAATCTTGTAGACCAAGTTATCATTCATGAATTATACTATATTGCATAAGCAGAATAACCAACAGCAAGCCCGAGTTAGATGCCATCAGAGTCATAAACTGGTTAAGATATCTTATTAACATTGAAAATATAATGAGCATTCTACATACCATTTTCACTATGTCAGCATATGCTGATTCAACAATCACTCCACGATTCGTTGAAACATATTCAACCAGTTCATTCAGTGTTGCTCTCTTAATTTCTTTGCTTTTCAGGTCTGAAACAGAGTCCATGAAGTCAAAGAGGACACAACACTGTTGCAACTTCTGACAAAAAAGATCTTGCTGTTCATTGAAGGTGGCATCTATGAAAGAAAAACCAAAACCCAACAGTTAAATCCGGAGAAACAAACTCTGCATTGCTAAATCTTTTTTGTTGGCTAACATTTGCACAGCCATCAGTTTGTCACTATGGGGAATAGTATGCTCTGTATAGACAGCAAATTAAGAAATGATATTGTCAAAACTGAAAATATCTGTTTCAGTGTATTAGAGAATGACTCACTATTCTCAACCTGTGTTTCATACAAGAAACAAAGAATAAACATATGGCAATAAATGTATTTATGGACAATGAACTCCTGAATTAGCTTTATTTGAAATACAGACATGAATAAGTACCAAGTCACTCTCATCAGAAGTCATACACAGCAGCAGTGCATCATTCTAACCTCCCATTCATCCGATTTGGCTCATTCTGTTCCCTAATCCTTTATTATGTAACCTGGCTTAAAAACTGCAAAAGCTGCTTTAAAGGAACCTTGTCTTTTTACCCCAATACAAAATACTTCACATACTTTAGACCTCATGTGATAAATGTTTTCCTTAAGAATCAACTCCAGTAATTCAAAAGGATTAACCCTGAATTTCCATGCTTTGGCCTAACTAATCTATTACAATCTTAGTCACATCAGGTTTACCAGCTTTTTGGCCTATTAAGACAACGTGTTTGGCTATGACTTGGCATTTTCATTTGGAAGTGCAGTTTCTCTCTAAGCGGATAAGCAAAATTCCTCCATTAGTATTTCACATTAGCTCTCAAAAAGATAAGATTAAGTGGCATACACTTCAAATATTGTAACTGTTCAAAAGTTGCATGATGACAACAAAAGCAGCCACGGTTCTAACTGAGAAGTTGGTTTGGTTTAATGCATCTTTTGTTCTTGTTTTTTATTGGTTACTGGGGTTCTAAGCCACTCCAGCAACATTGCATCACCTCATTTAGCAGTCAGTTGGGATTCCACTTGTTCTGGTGAAAGATTAGTTCTAATTTCATTGGCAAGAAAGGAATGTTCTCCCTCTGAAGCATTTTCAAGGCCTGTCTATCACCAGACAACTAATCCCTTAGCTTCATGCATTCACTGCAGTATTGATACTAGCACTCCTCATCACAGGGAAATTATCAAGACAAGAAAAAGGCAACTGCCCTCTAACACTGAATATGCAAGTCTCACTTCAAAATTCAAACAAACACAGAAAGACCTCACGCTTCTCCTGACTGTTTTAGGATTACCCTTATTACACCAACTTCATTTTAAGTTTTAAATTTAATAACTCACTCAGGTAATGCCAGTTCCTCAGGTTTCTTACCAAAACACTTTCCATTTAGTGGCTGGAACAACAGTCAACAGCGGTTTTAATACTCAGTCATTATCTGATAGACTTTTTGTTTCCATAAGCAAAAAGTAATTGCCACAATGGACTGAAACCCCTCTGCTGCAATCCCAACTGCTCGCTCTGCCCTAAGAGTTCAAACACCACAAGACAGTGGTGTTCCCTTCCACAGCTATGATCCTATGAACTGAGCAGAACAACTTTGGTGAGCTTTTGGGGAAAAAGCTACCAATGCTATTCCCTTGCAAAGACCAGTTCATACTTTGGAACGGTAATTCTGCCATGGCACCAGTTTTCTTTGGAATAAGTATCTTGCAAGCTGCTTATTTCACTCGGAGAACAAAGGTGTAAAATCATGAACATCAGCTGCGAAAACAGTTGTAAGTTACACAACATTTCAGCTCAGATCTCATACTCCACAGCGGATGGCATGAGTAAGTATTGTATCACAGCAACAAAGCAGCAACAGTAACATGCCGAGGATCAAATCCAAAATGCCTAATTTAAGGAAGCGATGCAGGGAGGACAGCTCTCTGATACTAGCCCCAATGACAGCCAGGCTCAAACAAGAGTCAAACCTACTCTTCTTTTTCCTCCCTACAAAAAGCTAACTGAGCTCCAAAGTGCAAAAACTCAGCAGTGAGGTGGCTGTATGTAGCTTATGTTCAGTAAGATGAAGTGTCATTAATCAGTTTCCCAGCAGACAGCACCTGAGTGCTCCTAAGAGTGGTTAAAGCAGACTAAAGATCTAGGGTTAAAAGCAAGTAACAGGAATTCAGACAAAGTAATCCAATCACTTACTCGCTTCCCCAGAATATCAAAGAAACCCCTGCATTAGCCCCTTTCAGTTAGATATGAGTAACAGATACTCTCCTGCCATGCATCACCAGTCCATTTCATTAGCAATCTGATCTATCTCAACTAGACATGTTTTCTCTAATGAAAAACTGCCCATTAATCTGGTTTGTTACTCTCATCATTTAAAGCAAAACCAAAGCAAATCTTCTACACATATATCCATTTGTCATACTTGCAAGGGGAATCATAAAGACCCTCTACAAGAGATGTGCACCCATGGTAATAAATCAGGTAATAAGAAAGCCAGCTCTGTTGTATCAGCACTACCCATCTTCATGCACTCAATCCCTGCTTGACACATCATGCATTTGTCCCAGGCATGTTATCAGAGATACCATGGGAACTACCAAGTGATTTGGGAGAATGTGTCTGTCAGATAGTGCTCTGAACTTTTACAGCCTTGTATTTAACCATCTCACTATCCCAGCACAACAGAAGCTACACAAGTCTACACCACAGTAAAATTATATTGCAATGGTTTATCCCAGTTCTATGAATGAAATGAACTGTGGCACCATAACTGCATCATACCAGAGCTTTTAGCTTTCGTAGTTTACAACCTGTGTCATGACTTTAAAACCAGTTTAAATTTAATACCTATCATGATTTACACCATACATCTGAAGCTCAAGATAACGGCTTCTCTTCAAATACCCTAAATAACATAAGGACCACAGAGGATAATGTAGGCTCAAAAGGAGGAGGGGGGGGGGGGGGAACCCAAACACACTCATAAGGAAGCCTGAAGCATTAAAAAAGGAACAAAAGCATTTTATCCTATCTAGAAGAGTATCACATGCTAAAGCACACCCCAGAAAATAGTCTACACACCATCTGATTGAGGTGACAGAAATGCAATCGCCTCGATTTTGTTTTCTAGATGCTGCTCAACAGAAGTGCAATTTAGGACATTCTTTAAATCCACTGTTCTGTTCCTTGAGAAGTTGGTTGTAAGTTGATCTGAAGTCCTTGGGAAGGTAATAATGACATTTTTAGGCAGGCAGAGAAAGCTGATACTTAATCGTGTGTTAGGAAATCCTAAAGACACTGATTTCCATCTGACACCAAAAGAGCTGCTGTAAACTATGATTCACTTTAACCATGCCTCTTTCTAAGGATCTTCATTGCCTCTGGGCGTTTCCACGCTAGATGATAAAGTTTGCAACAGATGAAAACAGTTCATTTGGTCACTGCCCTTCATAACACTGGAATTCTCAACAGACTGTTCCTACTACTTACAAAAACCTGACAAGAGCCACAATATCAAAGGATAAAGAGTTACAAACAAGTTGACTCGAAGTTCCTCTGAGCCGAAGTTAAGAAACATTAAAACTGTTTCATTGCACAGATCTGTCTGTAAATTGAATGCTTTTGATTTTTTTAAGGTCATCACAAGTCTACCCATAGAATATTGAGTTAAAAGATTAATTTCTTTCCGGGAGGGCCAAAACAAAACATAGATAGGGACAGAGAGTTCACAATCACAGAGCTACCTCCCTGGCATGTAACTGGAGAGACAAACACCACCGTATCACCAGCCAGAGGACTACAATGACGTCTTTCCACAATATATTTATCTCTTACATTTACAGGCCCTTCTCTTGGAAGGAAGGGACAGATTCTTCTTTCGCAATAAGACTGTTTTCCCAAGATCTTCTGTACAAAGCCAGAGAACCTAACGTAATGCTTGCTTCAGTAGCAGGAGCCAGAAGCTGAGTCCACAAAACCCCTTTGCTCAACTACACAAATAGGAGCTCAAATACCATCCTTCCTTGCCAATGGAAAACAAACCCTCTCAAACATTTGCAACAAGTTCCCAGTATTTTTTTTTATACCTCTAATTCAATATTTCTGTTTTTCCCTGGAAAAGCTACCCTGGAAGATGCAGAAGCCAGAGAAATGACCATGAAATTTTCCCCTTAAAGCAGTCCACACACAGCCCTTTCCAACACTTAGGGGACAGTGTTCTTAGGGAATGAAGTACTGCATCTCTCCTTACAGTAAACGAGGTAAGGAGAGATGGCAATCCTACACTTCTACATCATTCCCTGACAAATTGAAACACAGACAAGGACTGATACGTGACAAGGATCATGCTACAGTTATGTTACATAGTCCACAATGTGAAGTTCAACATTCAGTCTTTGCTGGCTGGTTACATTTACTGTACTATATGCAGCTGTACTCGCAGTGGAGGGATGTGCCAGAGCAGAATGAAGGCATGACACGGAGAAAGGAGAACATTACTATGAGATATCAAGTGTTTGGGTTTGTTTGCCTGTTTTATTTCTTCCTTCCCATCACTGAATTATCAACACTTGTACAAGCTCTTCTCAGTTTGGTATTAGTTTGGAAAGGGTTAGTCTGGCAAACTCTGCCTCAGCCTACATAAATCAGGGGAGTCCTGTTTAACCTAAATTTAAGGTTTATTTTTGCCCTAGGAAGTTCTTGTGTGTCTTGTGATCTCTCATAGCATCTGGGTGTCAGTGGTTATGTTATAGGCATGGTAAACCGTTAAGAAATGGAGTTTTTGTGCAACTGATGTTACAACAAGGGACAGACTGCGTTTCCAGGTTCTCAGAAGCCTGCATCTTCAGCTTCACAGGCAACAGAATAGTTGGCCAAAAACAAAGAGGAAAGAAGTCGTCCCCCACTAGCCCTTTGCCATTTATTCCTCTCTTCCCCTCCTCTGCTCTCAGTCGCATTCATCCCTCAAAACTGGCTCTGGAACTTGTCAGACTCTTCTGTGAGCTGCTTTAATTCAATAACATGGCTGTATTAGTGAGGTTAAATGGGTTCTGGAGGGGCCTGATGTGCCCTGGCACAAGATTAG